GGGGACAGCGATACGCGTTGCACCGCCGTCGCCAGGATGTGACGCTAGCGGCAACGCGTATCGCTGTCCCCCGCGGCAGGGATCCTGTGAAGACGTGCGGATCCCCCGCCGCGGCTTGGCAGCCCTACCTATATCTGTGAAAGAATGTCTTATGTACAGTGAGGCAGTGGTAAAATAATGCTACTGACCTGGTACATTTGTATACTCTGAGGTATTTTGGAGTGGACCCCGCCGCGGCTTGGCAGCCCTACCTATATCTGTGAAAGAATGTCTTATGTACAGTGAGGCAGTGGTAAAATAATGCTACTGACCTGGTACATTTGTATACTCTGAGGTATTTTGGAGTGGATAGGTTCAAGGGCACTCAAATAATTCTCTGGAATGTCAGGATACCGACTAGGATACTGAATGAAGATAAATTTAGTCACATTTTTTAAAGGACACATTTAAATTTAATTAAAACAGAACTGAATCTTAACCTCACACACAGAAAGACAGCGAGAGAGAGAAGGAGGAGGAGGAGGAGATGTTTCAAACTCCTCCGCTGATTTCCCCCAGCCTCATGTGCCACGGCCCTCACCCCACTTGCAAAAAGATGCTTTAAAGGGATTTTTACGAGCCCAAGCATGAGGCCTGTGACTGCCCCCTCCCTCCCTTCCTCCTGCTAGATTTAAAGGGCCCTCCAGCTGATCGGCGGGCCATGTGGTCCCCGCTGATCAGATGAAGCCCTTTAAATCGGGAGAGAGGGGTGGCCGGGTGGGCGGGTGCTCTTGGGGGCATCTCTGCCCACCCCCGGAACGCCCCCAAATCCCCCCACCAAAGTGAGGAGGGGACCTGGCAACCCTATATGGTGAGCCTGATTGGGCTTTCAAGGCAAGACACTTTCAGAGGAGGTTTGCCATTGCCTGCGTCTGCGTTGAGACCCGGGAATCCCTTGGAAGTCTCCCATCCAAAATCTGACCAGGGCCAGACCAGCGTAGCTTCCGAGATCTGACTAAATCAGGCTAGCCTGGGCCACCCAGGGTAGGGCAGGGAGCCTATACATATTGTAAAACATAAATCTACAGAGAAGGACGTTACCGTTATTTTCAGTGATCGCAGCACCTCCAGGTAGAATCTGAACATGAAACTAACAATGAGAGTCCTTCTGTATTCCACTTTGCCACCAGGAGCCGAGCTTGGGAGACAAATTTCTGTGAGTACACTTCTGCAAGCTTCACCCAACAGCTCCTCATTCCAAGGTCTGCCAACAGCAACGACGACAAGTAGTTTAGACATACTCAACAGGCAAGTAAGAGGACATCAAACTACTGCAAGACATCAAACTACTGCACGATGTGCACTGATCATTTTGACGAATACTTTCAGGCAGGGACACAGCACTGAATATACAGTCTTAATCCTCAAACTGCAACTCAGACAGACTAGAGTGAGATCCTAATACAGGAAAATCTTTTGACTTTTCAACCGGCAGCCATACCTCTGTAAATTTTCATTACTCATCATGGAAAGAACGGGATGTCATTTTTCAACGCACTGATAGTTTCTGGATGCCCCAAGGATAGGGCTACCATGTGCCCGCTGGGGGTGGGAGATCTCCTGCCATCCAGAAGGCCTTGCCCCCACCAGGTCTCCAGTGGCCAGTAGGAAAAAAGTGTTCCCCCCCCCTCAAAATGAGGCTACCGGTGATGGTATGACATCACTTCTGCGTCTCCCCCAGAAGGGAAGTGAGTCCTCTCTAGGAATTTCTGAAAACTCTATGGTTTTACCACAGAGAAATTCTTAGAGTGGTGTGGCATGACTTCCAGGTTTGCCCAGGTGATGTCACACTGTCAGTGCTAGCCATGCCCCTGCCTGTCACCACCCACCCCAGGTTCCCACTGCTTGCCAGACCAAGCAATCCTACCAAAAAAATCCTACCTAACGGCCTTAATATCGGTATGCTGGTATATAATGCCTAATCTCATTCATGATTTGGTTAAAGCTACAGTACGTGACACAGTCATGAATTTGGGTCACCGTGCCTCTGATTTCCACCACCTTCCCTGGTGGTGAGTGGAGGCTGGTGAGTGGAGCAGCCTGCAGGCCTCAGGGCAGCTTCTCCTCTACTCAAAGGCCTGGGGCCTTGTGGTAAATTTTACTTCCTGGTCTACATTTCCCAGCCACCCTTCAAGCCCAGAAATGGGCCTGGTGGAATTGGAGGGGGAAAGGTCTCATCCAGAACAAAACCACGCTGTGACATTTTCCGCAGGGACGGCTCTCCCCTGTATTATTCTGCCGCTTTCCCTCATTTCCGCAAATGTTTTTGCAGTCCCAGGAGCAAACATGCCACTTGTCCCCTCTTGCTCCAAAGCATCAGGCTTCTCTGTTTCCAGGAATTCCCAAGCTGCGCCACAAGAGGGGGCAAACTGTGTTTTTGCTCCTGGGACTACAAAGACATTTGCGGAAACGAGGGAACGCGGCGGAGGAACACAGGTGCAGGCACAGGGAGAGCCGTCCCTGTGGAAAACGTGTCAGCCTCACTCCTTCCTGCAACACACATATAGCTTATAAACCAACATCCCCATATGTATTGTGTTTATCCCAGGGCTATTTTGGGGCAGGAACGCACAGGAACGGAGTTCCAGCTGGCTTCAGAGTTGGCCATGCCCACTACAGCCAAAACCTCTGCGTGCATGGCTACAGAGGGAAGGCCTGGAGAATGACCCCCCCCCCCCGGTGACTCCGAGGCAGGCGGGCCAGGGGAGCCCTGGAAGGATCGGGGAGGCATTTAAATGCCTCTCCGTGCCTTCCCTGGCCTGTCCAAGGGCCAGGTGCCCGGGAAGGCATGGGGGTGTGGCCTAATATGCTAATAGGCTGCACTGTCAGGGTATGGCCTAATATGCTAATGAGTTCCTGCTGTTGGGTGTGGCTTATTATGCTAATGAGTTCCTGCTGGGCTTTTTCTACCAAAAAAAGCCCTGGTTTATCCCAAGGTGTTCTTATCAAATATTTTTGAAAAACTAGTCCTTTAAAAGATCTTACAGTACCATCCTATGCTGAGTTACTCCTGCCTGCGCCCACTGAAATCAACGGACACAGACTGGACTAACGGCTGCACATGACTGCATTGCTGGCCTCTGAAATACAGAGGTAAGTTTAAAAACCAAAACCCCGAGAATCACTTGCAAGGAGTCAGGTAAAAAGTAACTTAATACTGAGCATATTTTTCAACTATCTTGTTTTCCAAGGCTGTGTGTGAAGACCTCTCAAGGGCTGTCTCCATTTTGTCACACATCCACGAGTATCTGCCTCAAAGCAAGAATACTGCAGAGTAGATATAATCTATCCTCAAATATTCTTCATAGAGACATACAAATATAAAAAGGCATCTTATCTCTGGCTCATTGAAGCAAAGCCTTCTGAAGGTACCACCCCGCAAAGAGGCAAAATCAGCAATTAACCATTCGTGCCCATTCTCTGTGGTGGCTCCTACACTGTGGAACCAGTCTATCTAAGGCTGTAGGGAAGCCTCCCTCCCTCCCTCCCTCCCCATTCTACAGTCCCAGCCCAGCTACTTAGATTCGAATATTATATTTTGTAATCTGCTCACTGATTGACTGAAAAGTTGTATTTTTTATATATCTGCCGGAGAAAGGTCAACTATAAATGAAAATAATAGTAACAGTAGCAGCAGCAACAGCTACTGTTGTTGTTGTTGTTGTTGTTGTTGTTATTATTATGTCTTCAGTATTGAACCACCCATATTTGGGTTGGAGTGATCTCAGATCCCCTGAATGGAAAAAGTAACACCGCTGTTCCCCTTCATGGCTTAATCCTCAAAAGAATTCTAATCAACACAGTAGGGTCTGAAGTATTTGCAAACCCTTCTTCTGTAAACAGTAACGTGACCATATAATTGCTACCTGTTAAGTATTTACCTTGCAATAACATGAAGGGATACTGGCTTGCATCCAATGTCCTCGCATATTCCAGGGGATCACATAATCATCACCAAACATAATCCTTTTGTTTGTCTGGTTGGTTTTGTACTTAAAACTCCTTTCATGCCAACACAAAATCTTTTCCCCTGCTATTTTGTTCTTCTTTTTACCCACATACTCCTTACACAATACACTGTGTCACAGTCTGCACATAGAATGGAAACTTATGGCTTTCCCACATTCTCAATTGTATTCCTGTTGGTTTGTGGGTTTTTCCCCAATGTTCTGCATGTGTTTTGCTCCCTCTAGTGGTAGATGCAATATTACATCGCTTTACATCTGCCATATCTCCCTGCAGATTTAAACTGCAGGTTTTTATGCCGCACGTAAAGAACTGTAATGTTAAATCAGAGGGAGGAAAACACATGTAGAACAGACTCCCCCCACCCACCCAACGGGAACACACAAGCAAGGAAAACGAGGATACGGGAAAGCCCCTAATTAGGGTGTTTCAGGAGATAAAATTCACCATTAATCCTTATTCACTTATTTAAAATCAACCTACTGTGATGGAGGGCATGATCGGTACTGAGAGCAGCGGTGTGATTCTTATGGTTTGATAATCAGAATGTGCCCCAAACTGTGAAAATTAGCTGCCTTTATGAATCTGAGAATTAAGGCATATCCAGATGGCTCTAAGTGGATGAACTGGAATGGCCGTTGTTAGGTACAGGAAACCATGGTCTGGATAAGCCCTCAATCAAAAGATAACCTACAAAGCATCTTACGATACCTCCCAATGAGGGCCCGGCACGTCTGCTTTGCTGCAAGCGTAGTGGAGCCCACGCCTCCGTAAAAGATGCCGATGTCCTTCACGGTGTCTCTGTCGCCTTCAAAAAGAACTCTCATCCCCGCATTAACGATCGGTAAAGCATTTTCTCGTCGCTGGGCTTGTCGGAAGGCTGATACAAACTCTCCCTGACGGACGGGGGGATTCAAAGACAAGATTAAAAGGCGATCACAAAATGAAGCAGTTTCAGGTATTTTTACTCATTTTGAGAGATGTACATATTACGTGCCGTCAAGTCGCTTCCGACTTATGGCGACCCTGTGAATTTGCTGAGCTCCAAAACATCCTATCAATAGCCCTGCTCAGGTCTGGCAAACTGAGGACCGTGGGTCCCTCCATCCATCTTTTCCTGTTGCCTTCAGCTTGTCTCAGCACTATTGCCTTTTCCAGTGTCTGACAAAGGGAGCTCTGACTCTCAAAAGCTCATCCCCACCAAAATCTTGTGACTCTCTAAGGTGCTCCGGGATTAAAATCTAGCTGTCTTTTCCCATAAGTCTTGTCTTCGCATGATGTGACCAAAACATGACAGCCTCGGTGTGGTCTTTTTTGAGAGATTAACCCCCCCAATTTATTTTTACTTTTCACAGTAGTAAGATTGCCACCAATTTAACCCCAAATATAACAAAATCTCAACACTGTAAAAAGTACACCTTTCCCAGAACTCACTCTCTCTCTCTGTCTGTCTCTTGTGGTTGTCTGCATTCTCATTTTTGTTAAAGGTAAAGGTTCCTCTTGCTCGAAAGCCAGTCAAATCTGACTCTAGGGGGCGGTGCTCATCTCCGTTTCCAAGCCGAAAAGCCAGCGCTGTCCGAAGACGTTTCCGTGGTTATGTGGCCAGCATAACTGGACGCCGAGCCACATGGAACGCTGTTACCTTCCCACCGAAGCGGTACCGATTTATCTACTTGCAATTTCTTGCTTTTGAATTGCTAGGCTGGCAGGAGCTGGGGCCAGAGACGGGAGCTCACTCCGTCACACGGCACTCGGGTCTCGAACTACTGACCTTAACCATTGAGCCACTGCAGCTTCCTCATTTTTGTTAGTTTTCATCAAAATCAACATTCCATAAAGAAACAGTTTTCCAGTGCTGGTGCTACTGAATCTTTCCCAGTTCTCTGCCAGTCCTTTTTCCAGTGATTTCACACACCTGAAGCCGCGCGCACCTGCCAATACTTTGTAGACAAGCAAACCCAGAGTGTTTTTATTGGCAGGCCACAAGAGCAATTTCGCCAGGCACCTGACCCAACAGGAGTTACTTTAGTCAGCGCGAATGATTTTGGATTTAAAAAAACAGGTTGCTTACCTGTAACTGGTGATCTTCGAGTGGTGATCTGTGCATTAACACCCATGGGATTCAGTGCGCCTGTGCTGGATCGATCGGCATTGTAGCAAGCTCTAACGGATTTTCGTGCCCAGACCTCAGGCATGCGCAGGAGCCCCAAGTACGCATGCCCAGAGGGGTGGGCGCGGACATCCCGCCAGTTCCTTCAGACCGCCGCAAACCAACCGTTTAGAGCGGCAACCACCAATTTTAATGTTTATGATTGTGTTTTAAAATTTCACCTGTATTTATTGTGTTGTTTTTGAAATGAGGTTATTTATTTGTTTTTCACATTTATATCCCGCCCATCCCGTAAACGGGCTCAGGGCGGGTCACAACATTTCAATAAATACAATCAAATTTAAAACACATTAAAACATATAAAATCAATAGTCATGCTTGCTGTAGGGAGAATCCGGCCCATCGATGTAACTAGGTGGAAGTACGGCCGGTTATCAGTGGGTGGGAGATTGCAACCTCAGGGGGGGCGTATGTGGACGCCCGCCACCCCAACCAAAGGCCTGGCGGAAGAGCTCCGTCTTGCAGGCCCTGCGGAATTGCATCAGATCCCGCAGGATCCTGTTCTCAATAGGGAGCATGTTCCACCAGGTGGGGGCCAGGGCGGAAAAAGGCCTGGCCCTGGTCGAGGCTAGGCAGACGTCCTTTGGGCCAGGGACCACCAGGAGATGTTGACTCTCAGAGCGTAACGCTCTCCGAGGTGGCGTATATGGGAAGAGGCGGTCCCTTAGGTATGTTACCCGACCTGAGCCCACTTGCGGGATGGGCAGGCTATAAATATGAAAAATAAAAATAAACAAAAAAGAAAGAACCCCCCCCCCCCAGCCGGAGCAAAGTAAGGACCTGGCAAGCCTAGTGGGGGACAGGGGAGGGGGGGGGACATGCTGAGATCTCTCCCTTTCCAGGCCAGCACAATGCAATTTCTGAAATGTTTTATCGTTCCTAGAAAGGGGGGGGGGACACTTACTTTACTGGAATGTGGAATGTGAACTGACACTATGATCTCTTCGGGTTCCAGGGTATTGTTTCCAAGCCCATCGGCAAAAAGGTCGCTCACAGGAATCCGTCGCCTTCTCCCTAACGGAGGAAATCAGTGTCTAAGCCACGGCTTCCCAAAAGTGGTGCCCGCTGACGCTTTTTCTGGTGCCCGCCAAAGTGGTTTTAGGAAGTGAGCAGGGGCAGGTAGGGCTTTTAGCCGGCAGGGCTTCTGACTGACTAGTGCAGATCTGACTAGCTGTGCAGATGTAAAAAGCGGCTGCCGCCACAGCACAAGGATCTGCACTGTGTGACTGAAATTAAGCAGCGGCAGCCATTTTGTGGCCGGCTCTGCCTCCTGTGGCAGCCATTTTGTGGTGGCCATTCTGTTGCTGTGCCCACCGCGCCCTGTGTCAGAATTCCAAATGTGCCCACAAGCTCAAGAAAGTCGGGGACTCCTAGTTTAAACAATGAAAAATAAATGCCAAAGAGCCCGTTCGCGGGGAGGGCGGGGTAAAAATGCAATGAATAAATAAAGAGCTTCCAAAAAAACCCTCAGCTGAGTCGTTTGGACTGTCTGAGATGAGCTTTCTGGCACTGGTTATGCACACTGGCTACAGAAGGCGAGTGGAGAAATTCCAGTGCAAATCTGTGCTTTCATACTTAAGTGACAAGACCTTTCCTTTATTCATTACAGTCACAAAATAAGAGTGCCAGAACTCCATCCCAGGTCACTCTTCAAAGAAGAGGGCATTGTGATGGGAGACACACTGAGTATCATTGTAAGAGGCAAAGTTAACTATATTTTGCATAAGTGTGCCATACATTTTTTTCTCCATGGAAGAGAAACGTGAATTACACGTTTGACACCCTGCATTTAAGCAACTTCCTGACCTGAATGGCCCAGACTAGCCCGATCTTGTCAGATCTCGGAAGCTAAGCAGGGTCAGCCCTGGTTAGGCCTTGGATGGGAGACCACCAAGGAATGCTGGGGTTGCTATGCAGAGGCAGGCCAGGGCAAACCACCTCTGAATGTTTCTTGTCTTGGAAATCGTACGGGGTTGCCATAATCTTACGTTTTCAGCAGGGGTCGTTTCGTAGAAAAAGAGCTAGGGGAACTCATTAGCATAACTCATTAGCATATGCCACACACCCTGACATCACCGGAAGTGTGTCATAAGGCCACACCCCCTGACATCGCCGGAAGTGTGTCATAAGGCCACACACCCCGCCCCCAACAGTCCCGGCCGCCGCCGGTGGCCTTGCAGCTCCACTGCCGAGCCCCATGAGGGGCCCGGCGGTGGCCCTGCAAGGCCGGTGGGAGTGCAAGGAAGCCCCACGAAGGCCCTCCCTGGCCCCAGGCAGGCAGGGGTGGGGGGAGGCAGGGAGGAAGCAACTTACCCTCCCTCTTCTCCTGCCTCCTCCTGGCTGAATGAGGGCCGGAAGCGAGGCGGCTGGAAGCAGGGGGCGGGGCTTCATCATGTGCCCCGCCCCCCGTACCTCACCCGGGGGAACTGCGATCCCCCGCGATCCCCCCCGAAATGACCTCTGGTTTTCAGGATGAAACACAAAAGATATCTGTCAGCTTGGCTTCTAGACTGTTTACCTAGTGCAATATTTTAAATGCGTCACCAGCTGTCTGAACACGACTGCCCTTTTCTTCTTCTGCTCCCCTGCCACGCAAGGCATCTGTGCGGGCGAAACATCTGATGTCACTGCCGCCTTTTACATTCACAAAGGGGGAAATGGCCATTTTCTTCCTCCCCTTTTTTGGTGCAACCTGAAACTCTGTTTTGAAGCTGGTCCCATCTAACCCAGTTCAGCTATGCCCGGAAGAAACTTATTATCTCCTCTGAACCCATGACCTTTATTCCGTACTTTACATCTCACCTGAAGAAGACATCTGGACAACTCTGTTTTGTAATATTTGTCTGGTGCTGCACCGTTTTTGTTCTTGGCATTTTTGGTGGACCAGTGAAGTCACCTGCAGTCTGAACAGATTCCTGGTCCCTTCATTATTTGGTCAGCAAATGGCTTTCTAAAATGCTACTAAATGTTCCATAATTCACAAAAAGTGACGCTGACTGAGAGTAAATGATGTATTAATTACTAGGAGAGGCCATGGCTCAGTGATAGAGCATCTGCTTGGCATGCAGAAGGTCTCTGGTTCGATCCCTGGCAACTCCAGACCTCTGCCTGAGACCCTGGAGAGGGGCTGCCAGTCTGACTAGATAATACTGACACTGACGGACCGAGGGTCTGAATAAGTATAAGGCCGCTTCATAATTGTGTCTCTGAACTTACTGTGTGATGCCACGTTGAGGATACAGTTTCCAACGGCCAGAACAGGATTGATGTCAGATGTTGGACTTCTGCTTATGATATTGCCTCCAAAAGACTAAGAAAAAGAACAAAAGGACAATGTAGTTTCAATATTAAAAATTTAAATGCCCACAAAAAATTAATATTAACTGATTAGAAAATAATTACAGTGAACACATAGTCCATCACATGCGAACTGAACCAAAGTATGTTTGTAAAAATGGCCCAAAGATACCTTGATTATTCTCATATTCCAGGGGAACTATGAACTAAAAGGTTGGAAGAAAATTCTGGATATGAAAGAAAAATCATAGAAATCCATGCTGCCTTTAGACCCTTCTGTAATTCTGTTGGGATTACTGACCAATGTAAAAACCTGAGAAATAGCAGATAACAGGTAAAATAAATATAGTATAATTGTTTAAAAGAAGATGTATTAACCGAGTTCCTACTTGCTGTGATATACAGAAACTATTTGTGGATTACTGAAAGAAGCTTTGAAGTATCGTATACTACTAGTAATTGTAAAACAGAAAAATATACACAGGAAAAGAAAACAAACTGAACAAAAAATTCAGTGTTACCAGACAGCTTCAAGAGAGGATTAGATAAACATATGGAGCAAAAGTTCATCAGTGGCTGTTAGCCACAAGGTTTAGAGGGAACACTCTATCTGGGGTAGTGATGCTCTGTATTCTTGGTGCTTTGGGGGAAATAGTGGGAGGGCTTCTAGAGTTCTGGCCCCACTGCTGGACCTCCTGATGGCACCTGGGTTTTGGCCACTGACACAGAGTGTTGGAGTGGATGGGCCAATTGGCTGATCCAACATTGGCTTCTCTTATGTTCTAAAGATGTTCATTCCACCTGTAACACTATTCTTCCAGGTTCCCAAAACCTTTGTGTCATGTTCATGGATTGCTAAACACAAGCTGTTCACTCATTTACAAAACACCAAAGTCGTCAAAAAATTTTGACCAAAAAAACGTACGGCTACATTTCGGATCTGCTGCCCAGCCAGAGTTTTTAACTGTTGCAAAAGGGCGTGGAATATCTTGGTTTTCTCTGCTGGGAGTTTTGAAACGGCATTTGTCAGAACGTCTTTCACCAAGGTCAGGCTACAGGCGGCTCCAAGCAGCAGCCCTGAAAAGAACAAAAGTACAAAAATGAGAACCAATCTACTGGCGTACCTTTCAGGCCGATGCATCTGGACTAGATCCCGTCACGTCGTGAAATCAGCAACAAGCTGATGTAAGAAAGACATTACTTTTATTATGTTTAGTTGTTTTAAGGTATGGGATACATACAGCATTAAGGTGTCAGTTTCAGATTATTTTGTAGGAGGTTGATAAGACAATGCTGCAGTTTCAGTGTTGCAGTTTCATCAATAGCCTGGGTCCTGGATAGTCACACAACAACTAGAGAAATAAGTGGGATAGCCCTTCCGCTGGTAGTTCGAGCAGTAAACCTGAGGTACTCTGCACTCCTACATATGCCCACTTGAAAGTAAGGCTCATTGAAATCAACAAGGATTGCTTCTGAGTAAATCTAGCTACACTGAGATTGGTAAAGTATTACTCAGTGTATCCACAGCACAACAGCAGTGTAACCTGTACTTTTTGCCACATCCCCTGATTGGGGAGGGAGGTAGGGTTGCCAGCTTCGGGCTGGAGATTTGGGGGGTAGAGCCCGAGGAGGGCGGGGTTTGGGCGGGGTTTGGGCTTCAATGGGGGATAATTGCAAAGCGGACATTTTATTATTTTCTCCAGGTGATCTCTGTTGCCTGGAGACCAGTTGAAACCCCAGGAGACTTCCAGTCACCACCTGGAGGCTGGCAACACTGGGGAGAAGATCACTGTTTTTATGTCATTTTTTAAAAAAAACCTGAAGGTAACGATTGGCTTGGATAGCGCCCAAAATTTCCACTGGCAGAAGGGTTTCCTTCAGTAGAGGACATCTTCCTGGTCGACCGTTTCCATGGCAGTCCGAAATGCACCTGAAATGCTCCTACTGATGTACAGGGAATCGGAACAGCATTGGGCAGGGGGAGGGCTGGAGGTCTCCAGCAGGTGGGGGAATTGGTGAAGATTGCCCCAGCCCTGTCAGCAGAAATCTCCTGTGGGATCCAACCAGTTGCTTTAGTTGTGGTCAAACAAGTTTCTTCTCCCAAGGTGTGGTTCCAGTTCAAATCTTGCTCTACACACAAACTGATGACTGAACAGGGAGCCCAAATACTCTTGACAGAGAACTTGTTGCTGCCACAAGTTCTCCATCGCCATTTTAAAGAGTCACGAGGGATCAGGCCCAGTGTTCCCTCTAAGCTGAGTTAGTGTGAGCTAGCTCACAGTTTTTTAGCCTCTGGCTCACACATTTTTGTCTTAGCTCAGGAAGGACGGCTCCAGAGCAAACTAATTTATGCAGTAGCCAAATCGCTCGCTCACAACTATAAAGCCAGTAGCTCACAAAGTAGAACTTTTGCTCACAAGACTCCACAGCTTAGAGGGAACATTGATCAGGCCCGTGGCCAAAAGAGCCGTAGGGGGGCCTCTACACAACCCTCCCCATGGCTCTTTTGGCATTTGAAGAGGCATGGGGGGGCACTGCACCACAGGCCCAATCCCTCATGGTGCTTCAAAATGGCGACAGAGAACTCATGGCTCTGGGTTAGCCCTTAAGCTGAAGGTGGACTAGCTGTCTGGATGAGTGGAGGTAATATGTTAAAGCATAATATCTGTATATCCTTTCCTCATTCTCCTTATAGCAAAAATCTTTGATAATTTTTGAAAACTGAGGGCTGAGGAAAAGGACAGTCCTGAGAGAAAAAGGAGTTTTTTTGGGGGGGAGATCTCCAAGGTGAAAAATGAGACAGACGCCATCTGTGTCCAACAGCAGAGAAGAGGGCGACCTTCATAGTGACATTTCAGTACATCGACAGAGAAATTCAAAGCTATTTTAGTCAGTGCTGAACTTTCCAGCATTAATCCATGCACACAAAGGCAGCTGTCCAACAGAAAAATGAAATTTGAAACACTGTGGGTGTGTGGTCCAAGTCAGTCCAGAGCCACAAACGCGGGAAGGTGACATCACGTGTGTGTAATGAAGCCAGATCCATAACCTCCAGCTTTTCTCCAGCTTTTTCAAAACTGATCACATTTAAACACCCACAGCGCTCATTTTTCAGAGCTCACCCCCAGGACAGGAAGGTGCATTTCGGTTGTCTGTGGGGAAAGTTTTCAAAACAGCCTCACTGCTCTTAAAACATTGTGGGTGCGTTCAGACGGGGCATTTGCAACGGTATAGGTGCCGGTTGGAATCGGTGTACTTAACCGGCATTCACACGGCGAACATCTGCCTTCCGTCCCTAACCGTTGCAAAGCCCTTTACACCATTGTACTCTGCCACTAGGTCCCCAAGTGGTGGTATCCTGAGTACAGCAGTTGTAATCGCTGTACCCCCGTCTGATCGCTCTCCACCGGTGTCTAGCCACTTCCGTTCGGAAGCCCGAGGCTTCCGATTTTTGCCCGCCATTTTTTTTTAGCTCGGCAATATACGCTTAGGTGAAGCTTCGCCCCGGCGTTTGTTTTAAAAAAAAAGAAAAGGTCCTTAGTTTAAGGTGTTAGAGGAGTCCGGGACCTCAGGGAGGCCAGTTTGGTCTTTAAACTTTAAAGGTAAGTCCTTACCTTTAAACTTTAAATGTAAGACGAGGTGTTTTGCGCATGCGTGAAGATCGCCATTCTGTGGATAGCTGCCTATGCGCATGCGCAAAACTAAGTTTAAAAAAACCCAAAAATCGCTGACGCCCGCTGTGTGCGAACGGGCATACAGCGATGGGCTCCGCAGACAGGAGGTAAGTGTGATCGCGTTTCAGCCGGCATAAACTGCACCGGTTCCAACCGGTAGTTTCTGCCGGCTGAAACACCCCGTCTGTCTTCAATGTAAGCATGTCTTCAATGTAAGCACAGGTGGTCTCCAAGGAGCAAGTTAGAGGTGACTGACCTTCCCCAGTGTGTTTTACCACATGCAGATCCAATATCCTAGTGGGTGAAATGATAACTGGATGAAATACATCTTTAAATTTCATCTCCGGTCCTAAAAGGAAGAAAATAGTGAGGTTGATAGAAAATAGGGATTGTTTTGTCACACACACACACACACACACACACCAAAAATATTGGCTTGTTTTTCAAATGTGTCACTTTGGACTGAGCATTCAAACACTGTGGTCTTCAAAGGGACGCGAAGAATTCAAAAGCTAAAGACCATCAAAAGAAATCCAAGAATAAACAACACCAGATACAAATTTTGTAAAAGTTACCGTCAGATTAAATATACGACTGCCATAATAAAGAGTACCAATTAAAAAACACCTCAGATTAGCAATGGCTGGTAAAGGCCTTAGAAAACAAATGCGTTCTTCAGTTCTGACAAAATGTTTACAAAGCCAGATGTACTCTAAACTGGAAAGGCTTTCTGCATAGTTCTTACAGTGTTGAGCGGCGTAAATGGAAGAACAGAGAGGACATATCTCAAGTTATGAGGTAAAGTGTGCTGCTGAGAAGCAACCAACCCATGGTGACCCCATGAAGTTCTACCTTATGGGGTTTTCAAGGCAAGAGACCCTGTCTTGGTCTCCCATCCAAGAAGTGACCCCACTTAGCTTCTGAGCTCTAACAAGACTAGGTTAGTCAGGCCCATAGACAGAGAGCCAGTCTGTTGTAGTGGTTAAGTGCGCAGACTCTAATCTGGGAGAACCGGGTTTGATTCCCCACTCCTCCACTTGCAACTGCTGGATGACCTTGGGCAAGCCATAGTTCTTTCAGAGCTGTTCTCTCAAGGACAGTTCTGGAAAGAGCTCTCTCAGCCCCACCTACCTCACAGGGTGTCTGTTGTGGGGGAGGGGAAGGAGTTTGAAAGCCGCTCTGAGACTCCGAGTGAAGGGCGGGGTATAAATCCAATCTCTTCTCTTCAAGTGCAGCCCCCTAGCGTATTTGCCAAGCCCCTTCCCTCCCTGGCTGCCCCCAAAGTTAATTAGTGTAATTAAATTTTATTTAATTAGCTGAGCCCCTCTCCCAGCTACTGGGCTGAGGCTAGACTGGGCTATTAGAGCTGCTATAGTTATAGAGTGGTACATGTCAGAAAAATGCTGTCAGAGGGGTGTAGGACACGTCATCCTAGTCAATTCCAATACAGGTTGCGACGACCCCTTTACTGGGGAGGTCTGGTTTCCCTTTAAAAGTGTTCTTTATGTTTTTCTCTACTGTGTATTCTGGCTGCCACCAGGAAATTTATAAGGCTTTCCAAACCTTTATAATATAATATCTATCACTGGGTAGGTATATCGAGGGTTTCGGCTTTCATGAGGGTCTATGTGTTTCCTGAGGAAGGATTTCTTTCAGAACTGGTATCTTAAATAAAAGTAGATTTCTTGATATTTCACACACTTTTCTCTCCCACTGTCAGCGATCTGGGCATGTAACTTTGTAACACTTTTTTCTTTAAGTCCATATAATCTTTACTGTTTCCTAGACACTCAGCTTCAGCTTATAACTGTTTCAACACAGAACTGCTTGTCACTTTCTTTCAGACACAGCACTTAGCTCTCATATCACACACAAGAAGGTCTCTCCTTCAGACCCCAGAACTAAACTCATCCCACACAGGGATGCTTCACCCTTCTCTCTGTCACAGAACTTAACTGATTTTCTGCTTCTCTCACAGAAATCAGAACTAAAACTGCTTAACTGAACATCAATTGTCTTCATCAACTGTCATATCTCTAACTGACACTCTTGACTGACATATCTGCTCATCCACACAGAATCATTTCCAAAACCCCTCCCCCTCTCTGTCACTCACCAATCACACCACTTGCTTGTTTCCACTACTCTAGACTATCATACAGCCATGCATCCAAACTTTTAAAGACACACACACAGAGAAACATGAAATCGTTACACAGGTTATGGTGAAAGTCTTCATATAAACAGTAGTTCAGAGACATGGAGATGATCTAGTATGTATAAAAACCTGGCCCAATGTCAGGTCATCCAGAAATGGTTTTGTTTGCATCGAGGATTGACTTTCAATGGCTGTCAACAAGAGAACTGATCTGTAATGTAGGAAATGAAACCTCCATACCCACACAAGTGTTCCCTACTACGAGAGGTGCCAGGGGGTACTTGGATTTCAGTTCCAGAAGCTCCTTGAGATTTACAGGAGAAATCCATGTAGTTCTTTCCCCACGGAAGACAAGAGTTTGTGCGGTTTGACATTCTGCCATTCGCTGTAAGAAGAACAAAATTACGTCAAAGTTTAAACCATGACACCTGTTCTTTTTACTGAGGGCCAAACTACATGTTACATTTCACACAAGTTGACAATGGGGACAGGCAGCCATGTTGCAGTTGCGAGTTCCTGGTGGCAACTCCTGTGTAAAAGCACAGCAGAGGGCTGGTTTGGATTGGGACCACGGTGCATTGGAGCAGAGGCTCCTGCCTTCCCTGTGCTGTTTTTGGGCGCTGAAAGGGCTCACGGGCCAAGGTGTGGGAAGGTGTTATTTGTTCCAACAGGGAGCTGCACATGCAAACAGTCGTAGCGGTACCTATTACTTCACCAACTTTTCCCTGCTGATTTTGCATGGTAACTTGAGAGTTCAAACTTCAACAGTCAGTGAACTCTGTTTGCTTAAAGTTACTTTAATCTTTGAATTATAACTGAAACAGTTACATAAAAGTTAGACTAACTGCTTTTTTATGGCGGTTAAGAGTTGAGATTGGCCTTCTTATCTTGTTATATCAGATGTAGCTCAATCACATTCGCTGGTTGGCTCATTTGCACTTCCTCTTGATTATTTCATATTTCGTTAACAACCAATCACTTATCTAGACAGCAATCACACGATTACGAAAGAACAGATTTAGGAAAGGATTTGTATTTTTCTGTAAATATGCACTACCGTGATAAGAGAAGTCTCAGAGGAAAACGAGGAGAGATTTCTGGTTTGTGACTCGGGCTTTTTGATAATCCCTAAAAGCAGTGTGACAAGAAACTGAAACCTAGTTTGTTTTTTAAAAAATATCGCTCACTATAATATGATTTAGGAGCTGCGGTGGCTCAAGTGGTTAAGACGCTGAACTGCAGGCGTGGAAGGTCAGTAGTTCAGCAGTTCGAGACCCAAGTGTGCCACATGATGGAGTGAGCTCCCGTCTCTAGTTCCAGCTCCTGCCAACCTAGCAGTTCGAAAGCAAGAAATTGCAAGTAGATAAATAGGTACCACTTCGGTGGGAAGGTAACAGTGTTCCGTGCGCCTTGGTGTTTTGTCATGCCGGCCACATGACCACGGAAAAGTCTTCGGACAGCGCTGGCTCTTCGGCTTTGAAACGGAGATGAGCACCGCAACCCTAGAGTCAGATTCGACTGGCTTTCAAGAAAGGGAACCTTTACCTTTTATAATATGATTACGTAATGGAACTTTCACAATTTTAGCATCTATTTTTACGGTAACTATAGTGTTAGCTGCCAGATCCCTCCTGCAGAAGGCAAAGGTGGCACCCAGAGAGATAAAGACCATACGCACTTCATATCTAATATCACTCCAAATATCCATTCACATGAAACAAATGCTGGTCCCAAAGGTGACCCACCCCCAACACTGCCTGCCAGGAAATTAGCCTGGGAAACATATTTGGAAGTGAACGAAAAAGAGCTGACATGCAAACAAGTCTCTCCCAACCTAAAAGTAACAACAGTGGGTTCTCAGGAACACTTTGAAACACTTGTATCAGTCATTGGGAACACACCAAGTCATTTTATTCTTAGACATCATTCCCCCCCCCCCCTATAAAATGCAAGAGAGCCTGCTTGTTGTGGTGTTTAGGAGCACAGACTCTAATCTGGGAGAACCAGGTTTGATTCCCTACTCCTCCACATGCAGCTGCTGGTGTGACCTTGGGTCAGTCACAAGTTCTGTCAGAGCTGTTCTCCAAAGGGCAGTTCTCGGAAGAGATCTCTCAACCCCACCAACCTCACAGGGTGTCTGCCTCACGGATAAGCAGCTACCATGTGGCATGGAGAACATCTGAAAGGCATCTCTGTTTATTTAGATATATGAGGACGGAAGGACATTCCCTATCTCCTAGGGGCTTAGAACAATCAACAGCAGCTAGAGAGACTTCAAGGACTGCAGTAGGTGTGCCTAGGCCTATTTCTTCAAATTTCCTCAAACTGAGAGCCAGTTTGGTGTAGTGGTTAAGTGCGCAGACTCTAATCTGGGAGAACCGGGTTTGATTCCCCACTCCTCCACTTGCACCTGGCTGGATGACCTTGGTCAAGTCATAGTTCTGTCAGAGCTGTCCTTGAAAAAGAGCAGTTTCTGTCAGAGTTCTCTCAGCCCCAGTTTCTGTCAGAGTCTCTCTCAGCCCTACCTCACAGGGTGTCTGTTGTGGGGAGGGGAAAGAAGTTTGTCAGCCCCTCTGAGACTCCCTTGGGTAGTGAAGGGCGGGGTATAAATTCAATCTCTTCTTCTTCTCCTCATCTTTAGTGGTACTTGCTTGCCTGCTTGCTTCTTTTGGCTGGCTTGTTTGCTGGCTGGGCTTTGCCTGGCTTGCTTGCTTCCCTGCTTGCCCTTCCATCTATCCCCACACAGCTGAATCTTCAAGACAGGTCAATATAGCCTCATCCCTTAATCTATTACACCCCCTTTTCCACACTATTTCTTTCTCGGCCAAACTTGCAAGAGTGTTTTCAGTGTGTCTTTTAGAGTGTTTATTGGTGCTTTTTAAAGTATTTTACAATAAAAAGTACTTTTATTTGAACATCAGCCTGATTTATTTAAGAGTTCACTAAGGGAAAACCCTGGTATACACAGGTGTCGATCTCGCAAGTTACCCCCTCCTCTCACTCTGCCTCTAATAAAGCTAAATTCCCAACTCAAATAAGGGACAGCGCTCTGGGTAAATTGATCTGACCAGAAGCAAGTTTCATATTATTCAATGAGGTTAGTGTCTCAGGACAGTGTCCTTAGAACTAGATTTAGCGATGCGCTCGTAAGATTGCAACCTCCTTCATTTAAATCTACCATTTTACATTTTGATCGCAACTGATTAAATTACACTGATTAAATTACACTGATTAAAACGTACTCATTCACCCTGAGGCAAAAGGCAGGGTATAAATGAATTAATATAAATGTATTCAATGAATAAAGCTGCCTCACATTGCCCCACATAATGAGAATCAGCCCTGAGCCTTAAAACACTATGCAATACAAAACGCCGCTTATTTCTTACCATGAGTTCTGGAGGAAATATTAGCTCTTGGGTGGGATCCAAAGGCTGGAATTCTTCTGCCGAAAACAACGTTGTGCAAATCTTTAAAGGGAGAAAAAGAAAAATAACATAGTTGGTGAGCAAAAGTGATAATGTAAGCGTGGAAATGGGTGGGAGTGTGAGAAATTCCACTGAAATCAACACTATTTTCTTCATACATGAAGCTGCCTTCTACTGAATCAGACCCTTGATCCGTCAAGGTCCGTATTGTCTACTCAGACTGGTAAGGGTCTTTCCCGTCACCTCCTGCCTGATCCCTTTAATTGGAGATGCCGGGGACTGAACCTGGGACCTAGAGTGTCATACCAGGAGCTGGGAGACTCAGATTTGAATCCCCACTCATGCCGTGGATGCTTGCTGGGTGACCTTGGGCCAGAGACATTCTCTCAGCCCAACCTACCTCACAGGGCTGTTGTTGTAAGGATAAAAGAGAGAAAGGGAGACTATAATATGGAAAGCAAAGAAGGACATAAATATCTAAATAAATAAATGAACAACATACTGGCGTTGCGAATCACTAACAAAACACCTTTCCAGTCATGTAATTAAGTGAAGAGGGAAGGAATGTATTAATCTGTAATTCACCTTCCTTTCCTTGTTAGGTAACGAAGGTAAACCATCTTCTTCATCCAAGCAGCAGCCACCGGTTTCCTTATTTTGGCAGCAAAATGATTCCTGAAACATAAAACCCTTTAAGTATCATTACAGCAACGACCATTTAACAAAAGACTTCAGCGGAACGCTTTACCACATCTCCTCAGGACTAGGCCGCTTCCAAGAGCCTGCCCTCAGGGACGCCATTTTGTCACCCTCCTGAGGAAACACTTACCCTGCAGAAGGTTTTGCAGCCATCTATAATGGGCCTGTAGCCAGTGCAGCGACACAAATTCCCTAATCAAATGATAAAATTAAGACGGTTACTCTTAAAAGAAGGAAATATAGATAGTGGGTTTCGCTTCTCAGTCTCTTCACAGCATTTACCTGCCAGAGCTTCAGCGATTTGTTCTGCTGAGGGTTCTGTCTCGTTGCGCAGTAAAGCGTAGATGGACATCACCATTCCTGGGGTGCAGAAGCCACACTGAGAGCCGTGGCTTTTCGCTATCCGTTCCTGGAACAACATAAAAACTGCTGACGGGTAGTTAAACCCCCTTATTCGTGTGTGTGTGTGTGTATATATATACAGGGCTTTTTTTGTAGAAAAAGCCCAGCAGGAACTCATTAGCATAATAGGCCACACCCAAAAGCAGAAACTCATTAGCATGTTAGGTCACACCCCTTGGCTTCCCTTGGCTTGCCTGGGTGTCCCACAGCTGCGGGGCGCCCGGGCAAGCCCCCCCTTGAAGGGAAGGCGGTTTAAACGGCCTTCCCTTGGCTTGTCCAGGCACCTCGTGGCTGCGGGGACCCCGGGCAAGCTGGCCCTGGGACAGACCCGAGGAGGCATTTAAATGCCTCCCCGATCCTTCCAGGGCCCCCCCGGCCGGCCTCGGAGTCGCCGGGGGGGGTCGCTCTCCAGGCCTTCCCTCCGTAGCCACGCATGCAGAGGTTTTGGCTGTAGTGGGCATGGCCAACTCTTAATCCAGCCGGAACTCCGTTCCTGTGCGTTCCTGCCCAAAAATAGCCATGTATGTATAAGATCATAATTAAACAAATAGTATTATAAAGTGCCACAGTGGATTCGGTTAACTGCTCGCATAAACTGGTACTGATTTTCCAAAAACACCCGTTGCAGGGACAATGCTTGTCTTGTGACATTATTATAAAACATGGGTGGCCACCTTGTGGGATGGGTGCCTTCAAGGCTGACTCTGCCTTGGGGGGGTAACATAACCAAACTTGGGCCCGGGCAGGTTCAAGGTACTCCCCGGTAACTCACACCAAAATGAAGCCAAAAAACTTGATTGAAGGAATCCAAGACAAGTTCTGAAGCGCAAAGCATGCAGTTCAGTGGAGCCATAATGCACACAGAATGACAAAAAACTGACTGTTCTACTTGCTTATCCTACCAGCAGCAATGCTGGTTGTTGAAGCATGACGTTCCAGAGCTTACACAGAGTCTCTGTCCTAGGCAGCTCACAAACATAAAAATAAACTCAACCGGCAATAAAACCACACCGCAAGAGTCAACCCCCTCCCCCCAAAAAACAGCTGGAAATGGAGTCCAAAACCACAGCGCAGGGCCAAGGGCTGCATTTTGCACAATAAGAAATCTCCGTAGCATTACTGGTTAGTGGAATGTCCATGGAGGGTCAGCTGGCTGGTTGGGTCCAGGAGGTACTAAATGGCTCTTTGCAGGAGGGGGAACTTCTGACCGCTTTGAAAGAGGTACCTGCAAGACCCCTCCTGAAAGGATAAGATGGTCGAGCAAGTGGCAGCGACACAGTTTCAGGAAGAGGATCTAGACCTATTTCGATCTGGTTTCAGGCCCAGGTTTGGGACAGAAACAGACTTGGTTGGCCTGTCACCTTGTTAGGCCCTTCTATTGTTATGCTGTATGAACTGTAAGCCACCTCGGACTCTGAAGAGGCGGCAGACAAATATCCAAAACGAATAAATAACACCCTTATTCATACAATCACCCTGCGTGTATTTACCTGAACTGGATGGATCCTGGTTTGGGTGCTTCCAACTCCTTCCACGGTAATGACAGCACAGCCGTACAGTGAACATAAGGGAAGCAAGCATGTGTTGGCGGAATAATGACTTGGATCGTAAAGGAGAATATCTTTAGCATTTATCACACGTATTTGTTTATCTGTACGATGTATTGCACCCTGACCTGGATGGCCCGGGCTAGCATAAGCTCATCAGGTCTCGGAAGCCAAGCAGAGTCGGCCCTGGTTAGTCCTTGGATGGGAGACCACCAAGGAAGTCCAGGGTCGCTACGCAGAGGCAGGCCATGGCCAACCACCTCTGAAAGTCTCTTGCCTTGGAAACCCCGCGGGGTCACCAGACGTCGCCTGCGAATCGATGGCGGAAGCAAACAGAAATGATGCACTGCAGTTATGAATGGGTTATAATTCTAAGTACGTTATCCTGACTTTGGGAAATCTGGCCACCCACGTGAAGATGCTGACAACAGTATGTTAGCCTTCTTCCTAGTGCAGCTGTTTTAAGTTTGTTATTGTTAAGGTGCTGATTCTAAGGACAGGCAGACCTACCAATTAACTCTGTTTGGAAAAACTGTTTTGACCGTAAAGTGGGGGCAGCTGATATTTGAAAGGGGAAAAGAGTATATTTTGACACCTTAGCTGGGGGGAAATTTAGCCTAGGTGATTCTGGGAACTCCTGTATGCGGTTCGTGTTTGCAGACCTCGACGTGAAGCCACATTCCTCGTTGTGACTTATGGCCTATGCTTCCTGAAAACTGTGCTATAGAACACAGGTAGTTTGACTTTGTGTTTATTATTTTGTTGTACTCTCTGAAGTGTTCTGTTGCTGGATTTTGTGTTTCTCTCTTTTGGCCATTGTTGTAAATAAATACTTTCTTTTAAAACTTAAGTTGGCTCATGTGTGCTCAAGTCTCCTGTTAACCCACAAGAAAGCCTAGCTATCTTGACAGCTTGCATATGACGTAAGATTAAGGAAACACGTATCGGCTTAAGATACTAAATCGGCCCCTATGTCTCGGACGGCCTAGGCCAGCCCGATGTCGTCAGATCTCAGAGGCTAAGCCAGGGTCAGAACTGGTTAGCACAGGGGCAGGAGACCACCAAGGACCTCCAGAGTAGCTTTGCAGAGGGAGGCAACGGCAAAGCCCCTCTGTTTGCCTCTTTCCTGGGAAACCTTACTGGGCTGCCAGAAATCAGCTGCGACTTGACAGCACCTTCCACCACCAGGTCTGGGTGGCTTCTGCACTGAGGATCAAGGATGCTTATTTTCCTCCATAGACACCCCTCCTCATCAGTATCACCGCATCCAAAGTTACGGTTCATGGTGACTCGGCGTGCAACAGAATGGAGGGAACTGTCTTTCGTATCGAGATACAGAAATAGCACTCTGCTTCGCCAATGGACTCCCTCATTCGAGAAAGATAAGCGTATCGCACCGTTTGCCATCGTCCACAGAAGGATACGCGATCTTCTTAGCGACCGGCTCGTATCTCGAGATCATCACAGTGCACGCACCACATCCACCTCCACCACAGCCGTACTTGGTACCCGTGAGACGAACTGGAAGAACTGGAGTTAAGGGTGTACAACTGGTGTGTAACTCCGTGCATTATGGACTACTTCTTTTCCAACTTAGACCTCCAAAGCTGCCATCTCAAACTCAATCTCACCGCAGCCACACATTTAATGGCTATCAAAGTACAAATATGTGGTTCCTCATAGGCCTTTATTGGAATGATGCCAAAAATTAGAATCATAGAGTTGGAAGGGACCTCCAGGGTCATCTAGTCCAACCCCCTGCACAATGCACGAAATCCACAAATACCTCCCCCTCCACACCCCCACCCCCACATGCTCAGAAGATGACAAAAAAACTCCAGGATCCCTGCCCAAACTGGCCTGGAGAAAAATGGCTTCCTGAACCCCAAAGTGGTGACCGGCATTTCCCTGGGCGTGTGAGAAAGGGCCACGAGAACTCAGCCCTGAGGCAGCCCTTCTTGTCCTCCCTTCTCATGATCTGCCTGATGCAACCCTTCCTGCCCTCCCTCTCTCATGATCTGCTTCAGTTCAAAGAATCCGCATTGCTGTCAGATGGCCATCCTGTTTAAAGACCTCCAAAGAAGGAGAGCCCACCACTTCCCCAGGAAGCCTCTTCCACTGAGGAACTGCTCTAACTATCAAGAAGTTGTTCTTAAGGTTTAGCCGGAAATTCTTTTGATTTAATTTCAACCCGTTCGTTCTGGTCTGCCCTTCTGCACTGGCATTTCTAGCAAAGACTTTTGAAATGTGGAGGCGCCTATATGGGTATAAATTAAGCACCTATATTCAGTGTGACAAACCGGTGGGTTCTAGACCAAATCAAGCCCGAACTCTCTCTAGAAGCTAACATGACTAAATTGAGACTATCGTCCTTTGGTCACGTCACGAGAAGACAAGAGTCATTGAAAAAGACAATAATGGTAGGGGAAACCGATGGCAGATGGAGAAGAGATGGATTGACCCGACCGGGGATAGACTGACTCAGTCAAGGAAGCCACGGCCTTCAGTTTGGAACACCTGAGCAAGGCTGTTAGCAATGGGGCGTTTTGGAGGACGTTAATTCATAGGGTCGCCATAAGTCAGAAGCATTGGGGGGGAGGTTTGCCCTGGGGGAAGCCAGCATTCAATGACATCACTGCTGTGCGGATGGCAGCCAAATGGAAGGGACCTGCCAGTATCACAGAGGGCTACTTAGCTTAGAAGAAGAGACTGGATGTATAACCTGCCCTTCACGACCGGAAGGAGTCTCGGAGCGACTTCCTTTTTTTTTTTTTTTAAGTTTATTTACATTTTCCAGTATACATCATATCATCGGTTTACATTTCTCATACTTGTGAGTCTTAACTATTTTCTTTACCCAACCATACATAGAATTTTCCCCATCTTTTATCAAATGTCTCTTTGCTAGTACCTTTTATTATTAAACTCAATTTGTCCATTTCTACTATTGACAGTATTTTATCAATTATTTCTTTCTTTGAGGGCAATTCTTCTTCTTTCCATTTTTTGGCTAATAGTATTCTGGCTGCTGTAAAAAGGCATATAATTACATATTTATTCGTTCTGTTATACATATCGAGTCTGTGCCACCTGTAGAACATCTTATAGATGTTCTCTTTATATGAGATTGCACGCATGTATTTTATTGACTTCCATGTTTTAATCCATTGCTCTGCTTCTAAAGTATGTTGTATATCTTTTGACCATGCTAGCATTGTCCTTTTTATCTCTTCGCCTGCCAAGTAATCCAACATTAAGAATTTATATATCTTTTGAATTAATTTATCACTCGAGGAAAGCCAAATCCTATCTAGTTCGTTTTTTTCCTTATAGAAACCCATTTTTTTTGTCTATATTATATCTTGTGGTTAATTGCGTTGTATCCCACCAAGTAAGTTTCACCTTTTGTTTGTCTAATAGCTCCACATTCCTTAAATTATTGTTTGCATCCACCAGATCTTCATATATCACTTTCTTACTTTTTTCCATCAATACCGGCATCATTACTGCTTCTATTGGTGCTACCCATTTTGGTATTTTTAGATAATATTTCATTTTTACTTCCTTCCAGATCCCTATTAGAGCCCCCCTTATTGTATGGTTTGTGAAGCTTTGGAGTGACTTCCAATCACCTTCCTTTCCCCTCCCCACAACAGACACCCTGTGAGATAGGTGGGGCGGAGAGAGCTCCTTCAATGACCGCTCCTCAGAGAGTAGCTCTGAGAGAACTTGTGACTGACCCAAGGTCACACCAGGAGCTGCATTTGGAGGAGTGGGGAATCGAACCCGGTTCTCCCCGGTTAGAGTCTGTGCTCCTAACCACTACACCAAACCGGCTTACTCTCGGCCACCAGGAGCCCTCTGGGCTAACAACCAGCTGTGAACTTTCCCAGTAAGTTAAAAATGTCAGTCCAGGATAGAACCGATTGTGGTAAGGGGGAGGAGAATAGCACAGTAGCGGCCAGGTGTGTGTTTTTGCGGGAAAGATAAGAGAGGGAAGAGGTCAACGACAGGCAAAAGCTAATGAGACCTTAGACCACCACAGGTAGGCTGGTGGTTTATAGCAGGCCACTATCTAAGGCCTTCGTTTCCCAGGAGCCACTTGCAACCCCGAACGCATACTCTAAAAAAGAGGATACGGCTTTTCCTCAGATAAGATAGCGTCATCTGCTCAGGATCAGCATTCTTCTCCACTACCTGCATTGGAGAGTGAAAAGCCAATCAGGTACAGTCTTTCAGTTAACTACTGATTCTTTCCTCACCTCTCTTTGAACGTTTACTGTGTAAATCTTCCATAGCTGGCCAAGACAGCTCTTTGGTTAGATCAGCATGTTCAGTTCATTCTAAGTGAAGCAGACGGGATGACTTGCCCAGTGTACACCCAGCGTCCCCAACGTGCCGACCCCGGGGCACCACGGCGCCTGCCCAACGCCTTTCCTGGCACCACCAAGTGTTTTTTGCTAAGTGGGCAGAGCCAGGTGGAGATTCTGCTTAGCAGGGCTTCTGATTGGCCCTTGGAGATCTGATTGGCTGTCCAGCCTCCCGTCTCACACAGTGGCCAACCAGTTCCTCTGGATGACCAACAACAGGGCAGAGAGGCTGAGACCGTCCCGTGTTGCCTCCTGGCTCTGGGATTGCAGAGGCTTAGTGCTTCTGAATGTGGAGGTTTCCCACAGCCATCGTGGCTAGCACCCCTTGATAGACTTATCCTCCCTGAATCGATCTAATCCCTTTTTCAAGCTGTCTATTCCCGTGGCCATCGCCACATCCTCTGGCAGCAAATCCCACATTTTAATCACTCTCCGTGTAAAGCAGACTCCACCCAGTTTTGCAGATTTGGGTCGAATCTGCATTTGCATCTTTAAATTAGTTTCATGCCGCTGTGACACCATCTTTCTCTATGCCTGTTTGAATGTTGTTTGGAGGCGGAATCTGCATTTGTCTTTCCCACTGGTGTCCCAGCCTTTTGACTCCGTCTTCAAAAAAGCTGTCTACATTTGGTGTCGTTTTCACACCTCAAGAGTGCTAGCATACTTTTGCACGTCCACATATGTTTATCGTCCTTTGGGGCACCTCCACTGTCATTGCACCTCCACACTCCTTTAAAAGAATCTTCTCCAAACAACATTCAAACCAGCATAGAGAAAGACGGGCGTCAGCAGCACAGCAGCACGAAAATGATTTAAAAATGCAAATGCAGATTCGGCCTAGGAGAGGGCTTAATATATATAGCCTAGTGCAATGGCTGAGAGAGCAAGGCAGGGCACTGTGGATTAAAATCCCGTCTCGATCAGAGACAAGATTCCTTTCTCTCCGTATGTCTTCCACCTTGCATCAGCTTTATTAGCCTCAGTGGGGTAACGTCTCTGGCAGCAAACCAGAGGGCCAGCAGCATGTTGTGACTGGTCTGTAAGATCCCACACTCCTTCAACTGGCTCTGCAGGCGAGGAGGGCCCCTTTACGACTCTGCCTGCACCATAGGCTGTTGCCACATAACGGAACCCCGGAGGAGGACGGAGTTTCGCTGTAAGGATATAGCTCCGCTGCTATTTGTGGCTGTAAACAAAATTCTGTGCATGGAATCGGAGAAGCTAGGGTTACTGGATTAGAGGACACGTCCTCTTTTTTGGGTCTCCGTCCTCTTTTGGGCTCTTTTAAAAAAAAACTGATGGAAATGTCCTCAATTTGGGTTGGAAGGTTAGGAATATTTCTAGTTGGTAGCCATGATCACAGTTTAAATGGTCAGGGGTATTAAAAATGGGATTTGTCACACAGCGATCACTTGTTTGAAGAAGTCAGTCGGGAAAGAGGCCCTCTTTTTCACTTTTCAAATTGTGGTCACCTTAGAGAAGCAGGCCTGGTTTGAGAGGGTCACACAAGCTGCCGGGTTGGGACAGCTTTTGAAGCTCAGGTCCCAATTTAAAAAAGAAATAAATAAGAAAGCAGATGCCCAAAGAGCATCAGGCACTCAGGCCAGACTATGCTGCAGGGGTACAAAGACAAGCCAAGGCATGGAACAAGATGATGAACCAAAAACCTCGGGGTTGGGGCACCGGTGGTATTACACACACACACCCCGTACTAGCCAGTGGCAGCAGAGAGCGGTGGTGGTGGTGGGGTGCGCGTAAAGGGAACTTTCTGCAAGGACGCGCGCGTTAGTCTTGAAGGTGCAACAAGACGCGTGTTTTAAAGCCAGGTGTTCAACAGCAGTTCTGTCCGGGCAGGGGACGGGAAGCCGAAAGCCCCCGGCCTGCCTTGCAAGAGCGGGACGGGGAGCGTGCACGCCCCCGACGACTGCATTCCTACCTACTTACCCTGCGGCCGTTCACGTAGAAAAGCAGCTCGTCTGAAGCGCTCTTCGCGCCGCCTTCTCCTGCCGCCGCCGCCGCTCCGAGAGACATTTT